AAAGAAATAAAAAATATGCTGAAGATTTACTCACTCTTAAGCCATCCAAGATATAGATTAATTTGTTTCTTCGTTGAAGAGATTTGGAGAAATTTAGCATTACAACACTTACTCACCAATGGATCCTCTGCAGTGAATGGTTGCCAGAATGAGAGTTCAAACAGCTGATAAAAACATCGCAATAATCTACAAGTTCACATTTAATTCAATTAAGCATACTTTATCACAAGGGATATCTTGCTCACTGGGCTATTTGTAAACTGCTTTTAAGAATAACAGATCTTTTAAAGGGTCATATGATGTTGCTAAAAAGAACATTATTTTGTGTATTTGGTGTAATGAAATGTGTTTATGCGGTTTAAGGTTGAAAAAACACATTATTTTCCACATACTGTACATTATTGTTTCTCCTATGCCCCGCCTTTCTGAAACGAGTCGATTTTTACAAAGCTCATCAGTCTGAAAAGTGAGGTGTGCTCTGATTGGCCAGCTATCCAGTGTGTTGTGATTGGCTGAATTCCTCAAGCGTGTGACGGAAATGTTACGCCCCTACCATACTGTGATTGCATGTCCCGGCCGAAGCAAGGAGACAAAAACATTAAAACCCATTATAAACGAGGCATTTGTTGCATCGCGCCGCGTAAACATAAAACCATGTCTGCATTTGTGATCGGAGAAATGACAAACAACAAGCGCTACTCTGCACTGCTCAAAACTTGCGTTTGAATCGTCAGTGGCAAATTCTTTAAATATGAAAAACGTACTTACAGTCTGTGAGTCAGAACAGCCGGCATTGTAGTCTACTCTCCCAGGATCAGGACACAGTCCTCCATAAAATGTGCTAGACACATCTGAATATTTGGGTTAAACTGTCGTGTCCTCTTTTGGAAGACCAAACAAAGTAGTTTTGCTTTCACAACGAAACACAGCGTCACACACGGCGGGCTATAGTGAGCGGAGGCCGGCTTGAGAGAGCTGAGGCGGGCGGGCTTGCGGCAACCACATGTGACGACCCCCTCTGCTTCATCCACGGTGAAAGCCAATCTGGAGATCCACAGTGCAAAGTTGATGTATTCCCTCAGCGACCAGCACGCATCAGCTCCAGGCATGACAAAGCGGATATCGTCTACTTTTGGAAGACCAAACAAAGTAGTTTCGCTTTCACAATGAAACACAGCGCCTTCACGACATGGCGGCAGCAACAATACTACAGCGAGAATAAAAGTAGTACACGTAGATATGTGGGGGCGTGTTAGAACGAGCCATTTTAAGGAAGGCGTGGTTGACTCTTAACTTTTTTAAAGAATATCTCTTTGGATTTGAGACTTTAGTCTTTGCAACTTTACAGATCTTCTGTGGCCTAATGGTAAGAGAGTCAGACTCGTAACCCAAAGGTTGCGGGTTCGAGTCTTGTACTGGCAGGGATTGTAGGTGGGGGGAGTGAAAGTACAGCGCTCTCTCCCACCTTCAATACTATGACTGAGGTGCCCTTGAGCAAGGCACTGAACCCCCAACTGCTCCCCGGGCGCCGCTGCATAAATGGCTGCCCACTGCTCCGGGTGTGTGTTCACGGTGTGTGTGTGTTCACTGTGTGCACTTTGGATGGGGTAAATGCAGAGCACTAATTCTGAGTATGGGTCACCATACTTGGCCACATGTCACATCACTCACTTTTTTCACTTTATGCACCAAGAGCTTGTAACACTCCAAAGAGAAAGGAAAGATTGAAATCGCATCATATGACCCCTTTAATAGATTTGGGGCCTATAATTAATAAGTGAAACAGGGATTATTTTCTCAACAACTTAAATTGTCTGATAACATCTGGTGTCTGAATTATGATAAACCACACTACCAAAATGAGGGATTACTGAGAATCTCAGTAGATTCATTACAGTAACTGAGTGTAGTGAACTTATTAGGGTTCAGTGCATATGTGTTAAAATAAAAGTACAAAAGAGGGCAAACGAAAGGAAAGCACAATTTACCACCATTAAAGAAACATTTATTTTTACGTTTTCAGGTTTTTTTATTATAAATATACCATTGTCTCTGCAGTAAGACTGACATTTTTTAACTGTCAGACTTCACACAATGAATAATTTATAATTAGGGTTAATAAAACATTTGTGGTGGACCATGACTCTTAAACAACAATCATAACATGATAAAATATGATAGATTTTCAAAGTCAACAACATCAATAACACCATGCAAAACACAGTGACTACACATGTGCAGTGACATTAGTTCCCAGACTGTGGTCTGTTCTGTCACATAGGTTTGACTCTCTGCTTCACACAGCTTCAGTGAAAACCGAGTATGATGAAATCAAATAAAATTCAATCAAACCACCGTATATTTGTCTCTGTGCTGTGTAGTTCCTGTGTTTTGCCTTTGTAACATAGCATATTTAGATTATGACACAGCATGGCAACACAATGGCTAACAGCAGAATTATTAGCAATGTCAGTACCAAAAACGTGACTCTCCATAAAAAAAGTCATTCTGAAATGTTTTAGCATTTTTACTTAATTTAATTTCAGCTTCTTTTTTTGCAGAATTAGTGCCCTCCAGAGGAAACTTTGCTTAAAAAACAAACAAAAATTACTTAATTTTGAGGAAAGAGTAAAGAGTAATGACTACCTCACTATGACTACACCACTATTGGCTGACTCTCCCTATTAAAAACATGTTCTGGGGCCAGTTGAATAATCTGATCAGACTAGTAAATTTGTTTTCTTTAAGACTGGTAATGACGTCTTTTTAAGTCGGCTGCATAAAAACTTAAATCTAATTTTAGAATAAAAATCCTTTTATTCTTTTCTAGTTGGTCAGGCTAGTTATAAAGACACAGCCTTACATGGCTGTGTTTATGTAACTGACCCCCTGGGGCCTGTACCATGATGGTAGATGAACAAATTCAGAGTTACAGGATTAGTTTCGAGTTGACAAAACCAAACTACTCCAATCTGGCTTTGTTGGTACCATGATGCTGATCATCAACTTTCTTTGTCAACTCAGGCTTTGATCCTGAGTTTGTGGAGCACGTGTGACATCGCTGGCGAACAGCCAATCACGAGCCTTGGTTAAAGGTTAAAGGTTTTGCTAAAGGTTAAGAGATTGAATAATTTGATGAATTTAAATTCAGTTACAATAAAAAAGTACTTGTTCATTAAAGAGGACAAATAAAAGAAATTATCTTGATTTATCAGTGCAGTCACAAGTGAAACTTGTTATATACAGCGATAGAGACTCGAACATGTAAGGTCATGTAGTCATTTTTAAAGCATTATCTATTGATTCTACAGCTTATTTATATTACATACAATCTGTATATATTAACATTCATTGAAAATAAATGATTTATAATAACTGTTAAACTAAAATTGCTTGCGTGTAATGGAATAATATAAATAATATAATTATCTAAATCATTTAAAATAACTCTAAGTAATTATCATTAAAGCCAGACATTTTTAGTACTAGTGACCTTTAATTTGGAGCAAGTTAAAACTGGGGGAGTGACTTTTTTGTCTCAGACATGTGTCACTTCTCACATCTGATTGGTCCAATTTCAGTTTGAGCTGTCTAACTCAGAACATAACCTGCCCCGGAGCAGGTTAGCCGTAGAATGTTGGCAGCTAAAAGCCAAACCATTTTCATGGTACCTAAAAACCAGGATTGGTGCAAACTAAACTGAAACTTACCTGGCTAGCCAGCTAATCCGGCTTCATGGTACAGGCCCCTGGGGCCCATTCTTCGTACATCGCTTATTACATCCGAGATTAAATGTCACATCCAAGATGATATCATCGCACTAATCAGGATCTGGCTAATTCGGTTCTTCGAACGCACCTGTTGTTGATGATTAGTATGGCTGGATTGAGTTATCTGAGATAATTGCACGTTCATGGGTTGGTTTAATAGGGGCTATGCATCGATACTTGAAACCATGATCAGCAACGCAGCGATTGGCTGGTGGCAAGACAGCAACGTAATGACATCACATAATTAATAAAGACACCTGACAAAAAACTTTATACATTTTTGGACTTTTATCAGGAAACAGCCAAGCGAACAAAACTACATAAATGTTATAATAGATAAATGAAATGTGCAAATGTGTTTTTATTTTATTTTATATTTTTTTACAGGATTCCCAATTATTTATATTCACGATTTCTAATATTTGTACAGGCTTTAAATTTTTATTTCAATGTAGTAATTAGCAATTCATTTAATTTTATATTTGAACAGATTTGTTACGTGACAGCATTAATTAAAGTTTCTTAAGGGTCAAGATCATGTTATCTGCATCTCCTGCGCTCCATCAAGCCACTCCCATAATAGCTGTCAGCACTCAAATTAATGCACGACTCTACATTATCTGTATAGCATGTGTGTAAGACTCGAATACAATTATGAAGTAATAATTTTATGACGAATAAATCTTTCAGTGAGTAAAGCTGGCTGTGTCTGTTGTATTAAAGACTACACAATATTATTATATTATCTTTTTAAAGGGGTCATATGATGCTTTTTTAAAGATCATTATTTTGTGTATTTGGTGTAACAGAATATGTTGACATGCTTTAATGCTCAAAAACCACATTATTTTTCAAATACTGTACATTATTGTAGGTCCTCTATGCCCCGCCTCTCTCAAACGCTTTGTTTTCAACAAAGTCCCTCCTTCCGACAAGCGCATACGTACGAAGAACGGGCCCCTGGTCATATTTCACCCCAAAAATAATAATAAAAAAAGGAAAAGGAAGCCTATTTTAGTATGATTAAGAAGTTTTGCATTGTGAATTATATAGCGATATGCTATTAAATATATAGTCATGTCCCCCCCCCCCCAAGTATTTATATGTCATTATTAGGTGTACTACCTTTATTTGATGATATTTTAAATGGAAAAAGCATTATTTATGTATTATAATATTAATGAGAATCACCACTGAGAATAATGAAAAGATTGTTACTATTGAGAAAAACTACAGGTTTCGTTGACCGGTTATTCTCTCTCCCAGTCTCCTGACCAGTTCTGCTAGCTCCTCCGTCTGACGGGATTTCTCCTCCAGCAGCTCATAGCGTAAACTTGAGATATCCTGCTTTATCTCCTTTAGTTCCCCTGTAAGACACAAAGAGACTGATAAAGACCTTCTATCATCAGTGATATGCTTACATAACTGGATCACTGACACACAACCAGAAGTCCACCTAGAAAAGTACTTCCAGTGGACCACATTTTAAATAAAAAAATTAAACCTAATAATAAATACAAATATAAAACATAAAGTATAAAATAGAAAATAAGTTTAAAATTCAGATTTTAAATGTTAAAACAAATTTTTAATTTAGAGGACAGATATTACAAAAATGATCTCAATTTAATTAACAGCACAAAGTCTGGTTTGGAACAACATTGTACCTTCATTTACTTCATCTCCCTCTTTGTCAGTCTGCGCTTTGATCACATATCGTTTGATTAGCCGTTTCATGATCCTCTGTGGAGAGAAAAAATAGCACCAAATGTATTTCGAAGATTCTGTCAGATCCTAAAACATACATGATATACATTATTATTAAACAGCTTTCCAAAATAGCTTCTTCTGATTGGTCAGTCTCTGCCATTACTGATCACTGTCAGTAAACTATGTTGGAAATTCTTGTCTCTAATATCGTTCTGTGATCTCTTTATTCTCAGCATTCTATTGGTGACTTGTCAGAGTTGTGTTTTACCTGGTAACGACTTGTATGAGGTGAATTCTTCTCACTGGATTCTTTTTGTTTACCCGACTAAAAAGAAATAATTTCTTTGTGAATATCAAACCCAAACTATTTTGTTCTTTCAATAAATCAAAAGCTCTTCATGTTGTTGCACAATCTGGCCATAAGAGGGAACTAAATACCAATAAAAGCGAAAAAATATGCAGTTACATTAAGAACCCCACATCATTATATAAATAAAATGGAAAGCAGTGTTGTGAGAAAACTCTCTCTCGCTTTGATTTGAGAATGTCTCTCCTCCACCTCACCTCATTGAGCTCCGTGTCCTCCTTCAGGTCCTCTTTGTGTCTGTGAAGAGGTATTAGCAGGAGCTGTTTGAGATTCATAGCCAGGCTGATGACTGATTTTGGGCTGGGGATGAGATTAAAGGGCACAGGCAGCGTCCCTCCTTCTTCAAAGTACGAAAACCACAGCTTAGCCCTGGCAAACTTCCACTCCACATCTGAATCATCCTGTTACAAAGATACACACAAAGTACTGGCAAGTGACATTTCACTGGAAATGCCTTTAAATAATTTCCATATAGGTACATTTAGAGTGGCATCAGATATTATTTCACACTAATACATGTATGAATAGTGTTGCTTTAAATAACCAAAATGTCCATCATCAAAGTATCATTTATAAACATAAAGGTAGCACAGATACACTTTTTAAGAAAACCATTTTACCTAAAGAAGTGTTTTATAATTTTGGGATTTACGTTTGAAGGACAGAAATCATAAAAAAATTAACTTAACTAGATGTCTGAAACCAACATATAAAGCTACTGCTAGAGAAAGTGCATATTTTGAATCTTTACTGAGCTATAGAATTTCCTCATGTGACAGCTAGCCTCAGTCTTCTCTATATACACACTTAACATCAAATGAAATATACTAATATACAAAATATATCCCTATTTACACTCTTAAAATAAAAGTTACAAAAGGGGGGCTTTGCAGCAATGTCATTAAAGAACCATTTTGGGTTCCCCAATTAACCTTTCATGGAACAGTTCTTAATAGTAACATTTTTCGGTAACACTTTACTTGAAGGGGTGTGCATAAGACTGACATGACACCTTCATAATCATGACATGACACATGTCATGAATATGAAGGAGGTTTTATGCATGTTTATGACAACTGCCATTAAGTGTCATTCGCTCAGTTATGTCATTTTTAATGCAAATATGACATTATTTGACCTAACCGTAACCTAACCCTACCCCTACCCTTACCCCTAACCATAGCCCATAACAAAGACATCTCTAACAATGTCATCTTTGCATTAAAAATTACATAACTGAGCGAATGACACTTAATGACAGTTGTCATAAACATGCATAAAAACCTTCATATTCATGACATGTGTCATGTCATGATTATGTAGGTGTCATGTCATGATTATGAAGGTGTCATGTCAGTCTTATGCACACCCCTTCAAGTAAAGTGTAACCCATTTTTCTTAGTGTAAAGATCTTTTGAATAACCTTTTTCCACAATAAAGAACCTTTTTGTGGAATGGAAAGGTTCCATTAATGTTAAAGATTCTTCACGGAATCATAGATGCCAATGGAGATTCTTTATATTCAAGAGTGTACGTAAGAACTAAATGACACTGAATTTGAATTTGTAGCATGAGCATCTGATGAAACCAAATGCTGTTGACATATTAGTAATGGTCAAATAATGAGATTCCCAGATGGCAATAAAAAGCATCAAAAATGTTTCCTGTTTCCTGTATCCACATCAGACCTCTCTGGCGCAATAAACCTTTTATGGATGGATAATGACATTCTTGCTTTGCAGCAGCAACTATATTTGTTGTATTTTTCGTCCAATGCATGAACAATTCATATTTCACTGGTGGGTGCTACTGTAATATATTGTGAAGACCAAGTTGCTTTTACACAAATAGGCTGTAATTTATAAAACCAACAAAAATCAATTTCACAAGAGGACTTCTCATTGCATTTTAACAAATGCAACAGTACTATAAAGGATCTGTATCTCATTTAAAAGGGAGTATGAATGGGAAATGATGGTGTCTGGACATTTGCCCCAGGCCTGTACCATCCTACTATCCACAGATCTCCTTTCAGAATATGATTACCTCAATTTCCTGAAATGAGTTGTTGATCATGGCGATGAGCATGTTAAGTAAGACGATAACCATGGTAACATTGTAGACTCCGTAAAGGACATAGCCAATATTCTCAATGAATTTGTGCCCGTTGTTGATGACGACAGACTTGACCTCAGAAAGTCCAAAAATAGCCCAAAATAAAGTTTTAAAGCTTTCCTCAACCCTGGAGAAGTGGAAACAGGCAACTTCCTTTAGTATGGGTTATATCATTTCATAACTTATCACATATACATACATATATGAAAATATGTTTTATTATATGCATACGTCAAATTACTTAATTTGGTAACACGCTACAATAAGGTGCCATTTGTTAACTAACATGAATAATGAAACATATATCTTAGTTCATGTTCATTTTTAATATTTACTAATACATATTAAAATCAAAAGTGATATCTGTTAATACTTGACTAACATTAACAAAGATTAAGAAATGCTGTATTGCACATTATTAGTTTATGTTAATACATTAACTAAGGTTAACTAATGGCACCTTATTACAAAATGCTACCCAAAATGTTGCTTTGTGTTTTCTAATCTGTTTGTATGCTTTAAGGTAACTTAAGGTCAGTCTAAGAGTCTTTCTCTTAGTAAAATAACAAAGAATAACAGTGTAGTAAACGGTAAAACAATTTTCTCTACAATCCAGTGTGTTTATAATTATGAAAATAAAATAGTCTGATAATAAATAACATCAAGCAACAACAGTGGTGGTGAATTTCTATGAATTTTACAATCTGCTTACATCCAACCGACATGGGGTGCGTTTTCCAAAAGCAACTATGGTCGCAAGTTCCGTGGTTACCAATAGAGTTCAATGGAACTAACGCCCATAGTTAGCTAACGATGGTTTTGGGAAATGCATCCCTGACCGATGATTAGGTTTAGGATTTGGAGGTGGACCTTCATGCTTAGTTTTCTTCAAAAAAATAAAATAAAATCATTCTTTTTCATACAAAACAAACTGTATGAATTCATATAAAATCGCCAACTCAAAAAATACTTAATTTTCTCATGAGATTGGGTTGGACCTCAATATATGACCTCAAAGCTAGACATCATAAAAGCCACAACCATCCAATTTTGATTTCACAAGGTCTTTACTGAATTTCACTGTTTTTCAATGAATTACTTATCTATTTCATATTACCCCGAGCCTTTTTACAGAGTATGAAGAGTCCTGGACACTTATTCACTCTCATGTCCACATGGACATGGTCATGGTGTGGTAGTCATAATCAAATTTGCCAAACGCCTACTTCCAGTATGTCCTTATGCATTGCTTCCAAAGGCTCTGAGAGTTGTTGTAATTATATAACTAATAAAGACATGGATGTGATGCAATTACAAAGGACAAGACAAACAATCATCAAAGGAATTTATGTGAATTAACCATTGCTTACGTTGTGAAGGCGCCATTCTGCTTGGCTCCACGATAGTACGAGTAGAGGTTAAACATTCCCATCATGAAGGCCACAAACACCATTATGAAGATCACCATGAATTTAAATATGTCTTTCACAGTCCTGCCCAGAGAGATCTGCAAGGGCCCAAAGCTCTCATTCGCCGGTAGGATGTACGCAATCCGAGAGAAGCTTAGAACCACTGCGATGGCATAAAGGCCCTCAGAGATCAGCTGAGGGTCTGAAGGAACCCAGTGGACGCGAGCTGAAATGTGTACAAAGGAAGCTTGTTAAGGTTGAGCATGTTGTCTTTTCTATAGGTATTTCAAAAGGTCAAGCTGAAGGTATTCAACAACAAACAAACAAAAGTCATTGGTGGAAAAAAGTGTTAGCTGTCATATATAGATTTCTACTTGTCAGTGTTGGTTTTGCAATTCATTAACCTCTAAACCAAATGCATGTCGCATGGAACGTCAGAGTCTGCAGGGGTCCTAGGAAGGATTTAATTGACAGAAATACTGAAGCTGACATTTTCCAAAAGGGACTGAACATTTTAAAAAGACTGAACTTTTAAAGTTCATTTCTTCTAGTAATCAAAAATGTTCAAAGCTGAAAATATAGTTTCTAAAATAATTTAGTTTCCATGTGTTTTTTCTACCTGTTTTTTCCCAACTTTATTATTTTTCTGTAGTTTAGTTTTCACATCCTTTGTCTGTAGTTTAGTTTTCACATTTAGTTTTCACATCTTTATTTTCCTAAAATTATTGCTTTAATACTGACAGTGCTATGTCTGTCTTTACTGACATATATCTCTGAACTACACATTACTATACAGTATTATGCATTTTAATCAGTTAATCTATGCAAATAATGATCTCAACTAGATTGATCAGCCAACAGGGATGAATTCACTACCACATCATTGTCATATCGGAGTAGAATATATCAGTGGGAAATACAAACATTTAAATTTAAAATTTGTAAATAAATAAAAGAATAAATATAAATGTGTTACATTTACATTTATGTACTTGGTAAATTGTTTTATCCAAAGTGTCATACATTGTCTTACAAAAGTCATTTCTTAATAAATGTAGTAGAAATCATAATCATTTCTTTTACAATTTTTTATATATTTTTTTATGATGAGAAAGTCAAAAAAGATAGTAAAAGAAGCTGCATGTGCCACAAATTTTAGGAAAGTACCATGTATGATCTTCCTCAACTATAATTTAGAACACTGCACAAAACTTAAGTTTTGCAAAAATAATTTTTGCATTAAATTAATGATGTAGAAACCATAATCATCTTTTTTTCTTTTTTTTTGACAGCATTACTCACCAAGACGATAGTATTCTATCTCAAGGGGCAGGGTAATGTTTGATAGATCTGTGTAGTGCTTGTCGACGTAATTCTGTGCAACATTTGCATGCCAAAACGCCATAAATCTAGCAATGAATGAAGTCACAAAAATGGCCAGCATTCCAAAGTCCAGCAAATTCCATGGCTCTTGCAGATATTCCCGAGGACCCTGAGACCATATCTCTTTACATTCAGCCCAAATCATTCCTTTAATTGGAAGAAGAGACAGGTAATTAGAGTTCATGCACTCAAAGTCATTTAATGTCTTACAATTTATTTATTTATTTTTTTAATTAAAGGGATACTCCACCCCAAAATGAAAATTTTGTCATTAATCACTTACCCACATGTCGTTCTAAACCCGTAAAAGCTTCGTTCTTCTTCGGAACACAATTTAAGATATTTTGGATGAAAACCGGGAGGCTTGTGACTGTCCCATTGACTGCCAAGTAAATTACACTGTCAAGGCCCAGAAAAGTATGAAAGACATCGTCAGAATAGTCCATCTGCCATCAGTGGTTCAACCGTAACGTTATGAAGCGACGAGAATACCTTTTATACGCGAAAAAACAAAAATAATGACTTTATTCAACAATTCGTCTCCTCTGTGTCTCTCCGCATCACCATAGCGCTATTTTGGAGAATAACCACTGAACGCCATCAGCGTATGCTACTCTGTGTCAGCCGCGCTGCACAGATGCGCTGTTTTCTTTCAAATCAAAGCATAAATACACATAGAAAACGTATCCTTGTGTCGCGGCTCCTCCCGGTATTTATCCAAAATATCTTAAATTGTGTTCCGAAGACGAACAAAGCTTTTAGGGGTTTGGAACGACATGGGGGTAAGTGATTAATGACAAAATGTTCATTTTGGGGTGGAGAATCCCTTTAACATGATTGGTTTACAGATTTTGATAGTGCAGATGTGACAGATGTTAGACAGTTCAAAGTGTTGTGACCTATGAATCATTGTGTGCTTGCATGAGTCATTTGGGATTCATTTTAATGCATCACTGTGGGAAACAGTAAAATGGAAGAGTATTTTTGAACCTTTAGTTTCGTGTTGCTCATAGCAGGTTTTCACATTTGTTACACCAGACATTTATGGCTCTATAGTATAATATGGAGCTCATGCTCAATACTTTGGTGCAGTTGCTAATATTTATGTAGCCAAAAAGTAAAATGTGCATAGTTTTATGATAAAAAACTCTGTAGTTTTTATTGTGGTGGGGAAACATATAATGCAAATAGACATTCCTCAAGTCTACTCACATTTTAAAGTTTTTTTTCTGAAAAATATGTATAGATAATAAAGTAAAGTTGCTTCAGTCCAGTAAGTGTTCTTCTTAAAATACTACTAACAATATAAAAGCTACTCTTATGTTAACTTCATAAAGTACCAGGGGACAAGGGGGACAATTTTTCAAATTACACTAAAAGGCCTTTGACTTCCTAAACAAAGTATAAAATATCAATCAGACAACAGAAGACATACAGGTTTGCAATTGTCATGCAAGTGTTTAAATGACCTGATCCAAAATAAAAGTTTGATTTGTTGTTGTGTAACACAGTGAGAGATGATGTCTGACCTACGACCCAGGAAATAATCAGCATTTCCATCCAGGTAAAAGGGGTGGTCTTCATGCGGAACAACTGGGAGGGGTGGTCATGGATGGTCATATTTGGTAAGAGAGACGTCCCTTCGAAACGGTCGGCAGCATTCATTATGAGAAGGCCAAGAAAGATTGTGAAAGAAGCTGCGTGTGCCACAAATTTTAAGAAAGGACCACGTATGATCTTCCCCAACTATAATCAAAAACATTGCACAAAACAAATAAAGAATGTTCTGAAGCAATGTAATTTTAGTAAGAAATCAGAAACAGCATTGTGTTCATCGTTTTATTTTCTTACTCATAATATCACATAAGCAGAAAAGAAATTCAGTGCCATGGATGAATTCACAGTGACTAAAGGTTCAGGTTATTACAGTCTGACCTTGCTTGAGGGTGCTATCCAGTACAGTAAGGCCAGGATGGGAAGTCCAACCACAACCCCCAGAACCACCAGCAACTTGACAGCTGTGGTTTGCTGCCTGAGCCCTGACAGATTCTCATACCATATGGACAAAAGCTGCTGTTGGCAGTTTGGATGGGCTACAAACTGTGTGGGAAGCATCAGAGCAGGCAGAGATACAGTAAACAGATTTGTTTTTATTACTGTGCTATCATGCAGTCATTAAGTCGTTGTATTTTAGCACTTAAAGGGATAGTTCACCGAAAAAATTTAAATTCTGTCATTAATTACCCTCATGTTGTTCCAAACCCGCAAGAGCGTCGTTCATCTTCAGAACACCAATTAAGATATGTTTGATGAAATCAGAGAGCTCTCTGACCCTCCATAGACAGCAAGGGTACTACCACGATCAAGGCACAGAAAGGTAGTTGAAATCGTTGAAATGGTCCATATGACATCAGTGGTTCAACTGTAGTCGTATAAAGCTACGAGAATAATTTTTGTGTGAAAAAAAACCTAAAGTAACTTTATACAATGCATGTGATGCTGCTGACGTGGAACACGCATACGCTGCGCCTTGTTAACATTTAGAGGAGAGTGCACACATGCGTTGTGGCACTCTCTAAAATGGCACCCTAGGGTAGGGTGGCCATATGTGCCATTTATATGGGACACATCCTGGCCAGGATTTTTATATTGCCTAAAACATCCAAAGTAGTTTGACCAATAACATGCAGGTATTGTACATAATCGACCAATCGGGGCGCGTCGTGCGTGAGAAGGTGAGAACGATCAAAGCGATGCAAATACGTGCACGTGTTTGTTTGTTCGTTCGACTTGAAGCTGAGCACCGATCGTTGTATGACACCAAAGTACCGAGAGCGATTTGAAAGCATAAGGAGCCGTCTGCTCTGCTCTCTATAGCTCTTGTGAAATAATGTCATACAACAATCAATCTGCACAGTGCAAACAGCCAAAACCTGGATATTTTAGGCAATATAGAAATCCTGGCAAGGGTGCGTCCCATAAAAATCGCCCGTATGGTCACCCTACCCTAGGGTGACGCGAAGGAGAAGAATTGTTGAATAAAGTTGTTATTTTAGTTTTCTTTTTGCGCACAAAATGTATTCTCGTAGAGTAATTAATGACATAATTGTCATTTTTGGGTGAACCTTTCCTTTAATGCTACAATAGTTGAATAATTACGCCTAATAATTATATCACTTACTGAAATCACTGTGTGAAATATTAATGTTTATTATGAAACCTACCTTTTTCAGCTCGTATTTGATGGCCAGTTTTAAGCGAACTAGATTAGGTCTGCCGCCCTTGTCAAAGTGGCCACCTGCCTCTGTGTCTCCATTTAAAATGGCTTCCACCTCCTCTGTATTCCGACACAGATCCAGAAGTCCAACTACAAAATCCTTACATTGCATAGACAGCTTTTTATAATCGTTCTGTAAAAGGAAATTTGCATAGATCTGTTGTAAACATACTATTTTTCATACATAGGCTTAGTGATTTGAACAAACTCATAAACCTAAGAATTAGCCTAAGCTTTGGCACATAACCTGTCCCACAACATTTGTGCTACTGATGTGAATTATACCTCAAATCATTATTAAGAAGAAGTTTACTATAATGTTTTCCTGGAGGGTTAAAAAATGGGCGAAAAAATTTCAAAGAATTTGAAGAAGGTAAGCGTTGAAGAAGCAACAAGGGCCCTATATAGAGACTATCACAGAGATGGGGATCCTGACAGAAAGCAATCTCCAAGAACACTCTAGCAACCACCTACTAACACCCAGAACACCTACCAATGCCCTAGCAAGCATCCAAATCACCCTAGAAATGACCATGCCACAGTAACCCCCAAACTGATATTACCATGGGCAAGCACCACTCACATTCTCTTTCATTTATCTTCAGTGACTTAATGAAAGATATCGTAAAGTGTTACAAACACATTTCCTGGCATTATTTAGGTTACAGCCAGAGGCAAGTTTCTGTCCGTTTTTCTAATGCGCAACAAGTTCACTGAAAGGAAATCAATATGGCAGAAAGCGACATCTATTTTCTTTGTTTTGAAGAGCACAGTGTTTTGTTGTTGTTGTGACTGTACACAAATAAAAGTAGATTCTTTATAGTTTCATAATGATGTCTCACTCACTCTTACCTTTGATTCTGCTGTAACAATCAAGTGATCGCGCAGGCGCCTCACGCATGCACACAACATCAGTTAGGCTATAGCATATTGACATCGCACGCTGTTCATTATCAAAATAAAATAAGCCATCCAAACATATAAAAAGTTACACTACTCAATTTAAATAGTCCGAAATACAATCCATTGCATTCATCCACCAAACATTGCAGATGTAAAGGATGATTTATGTGCATTGGACGAAGTTCAAAGCATAATAAATAATAGCATTCAAATAGGCCTACATCATGAATATGGAAACATTTTTGAGTGGATTCGTGCTGCATAAGAGAGGTAGGCTATGTGAGCCCGTTTCAGTTTCAGCAGCAATTAATTTGTTTTGGGTTGATGTTTAACTACTTATAGAATTTGTCATTCTTTTTCTGAATACCGTTAAATTTAAAGGATTTGTTATGGAGTGAGAGGAACTAAAATAGCTTTCAGATTTGTTTGTTTGTATTTATTGATAATGTTAGTAAGCATTTAGCTTTATTTACCGGTATTTTACATTATGAATGTAATAGCTATATGCGACTTGACCTTTACGCGGCTTACCTGTTTTTTTCTCTCAAAAAACGCTTTTAAACCATACAGCAAAAGTTTTAAAATATCTTTAAAAATGTACTTTAAAAACTAGTCAACTTTTGTACGCTTGCGCGCGGGCACGTCCATGTCTGTTTTGTCATTGTAACATAAGCAAATGTGAGATAAAAAAATTATTTTCCTTAAGCAACCCTGACATTTTAACTTGTTTCTATGAATCTTTAAGCTCTTTTATCATAATGCATGTTTCACGGGACAGTGTAGTACTGTAAATGTCAAAACTTATTGGTTTACTGGTTTTACAATCATTCACAGTGGTAAAAGTGTTGTGAGGTCACACAATGATATTAAAACATAAAAATAAAAAGTTATTGCCCTTTTACTGCCACTAGTGGTCATTTCTGTGAGAAAATACAGTGAATTGTATATAGGAAGTTTTTTTTGTTTTTTTTTACCAAAATGAAGATAAAGGCACATTTTTCCATCAAGCTTATGTTATAAGGCTTGGAAACACTACTTGTGGGGAAGTCGTGGCCTAATGGTTAGAGTCGGACTCGTAACCCAAAGGTTGCGGGTTCGAGTCTTGTACCAGCAGGGATTGTAGGTGGGGGGAGTGAATGTACAGCGCTCTCTTCCACCTTCAATACCACGACTGAGGTGCCCTTGAGCAAGGCACTGAACCCCCAACTGCTCCCCGGGCGCCGCAACATAAATGGCTGCCCACTGCTCCGGGTGTGTGTTCACTGCTGTGTGTGTGCACTTTGGATGGGATAAATGCAGAGCACTAATTCCAAGTATTGGTCACCATACTTGGCCACGTCACGTCACTTTTTTTAACAATGATTTCTATGTATTATAACTTATACAATATGTTAAAAATATTGTTTTATATTTAAAATATATTTCCCCTTAAACAGCTTCAACATAGTTAGCTATATGTTTGTTAGTAGCTTGACTAACTACTTTTAATTCTGAGTAGCCTGCAGCTTGTCCATTATCATGCTACTGAACTTTTTTGACAAATTAAATGTTTAGTTGTACATCATCTTCACAGATTTCTGAAAAAAAAACACTCCACCTGCATCTAAGATGCATATTAATTTTGAAAAACTTTCTAAACATGCGACATCTGTGATTTACCAAATGTCAATGAGTTTGAAAGGTTGTTTAAAACAAGGTAACAGGTGTCAGAAAAAGAATAAAGGATGAAGATGTGCCTGAATGATTGCATTTAAATTGATTCATTTTGTTGAAATAATTTGTTTGTTTCTGTAGCAATGACAGCACTGAATCAGAGATCAATGAGCCCTCCTCCCACACTAATGCTGTCTTAGTTATTCAAGAAAATCCTCATCCCAGTAGCCAAAGGGCACAACTACTGTTATCAGTGTCAGTCTTTTTCAATCTCTACAATATAAACCTTTTCCCTTTAAAATTCAAGAACTCTGAGATCTTCTTACAACTTTGACAACGTTCTGTATATTGAGTGATAATAACCCAAGTAAGAGAGACTAGAGCAGACAGCATGTGAGGGGCTAAATGTTGGAGAATGTCAAATACAGGTGCATCTCGATAAATTAGAATGTCGTGGAAAAGTTCATTTATTTTATTCATTCAACTCAAATTGTGAAACTCGTGTATTAAATAAATTCAATGCACACAGACTGAAGTAGTTTAAGTCTTTGGTTCTTTTAATTGTGATGATTTTGGCTCACATTTAACAAAAACCCACCAATTCACTATCTCAACAAATTAGAATACTTCATAACACCAATAAAAAAAAACATTTTTAGTGAATTGTTGGCAAAGGCTGCTATCAAAGCAACCTGGGCTTCCAATACACATGAGCAGTGCCACAAACTGATCGCCTCCATGCCACGCCGAATTGAGGCAGTAATTAAAGCAAAAGGAGCCCCTACCAAGTATTGAGTACATGTACAGTAAATGAACATACTTTCCAGAAGGCCAACAATTCACTAAAAATGTTTTTTTATTGGTCTTATGAAGTATTCTAATTTGTTGAGATAGTGAATTGGTGGGTTTTTGTTAAATGTGAGCCACAATTAAAAGAACCAAAGACTTAAACTACTTCAGTCTGTGTGCATTGAATTTATTTAATACACGAGTTTCACAATTTGAGTTGAATTACTGAAATAAATGAACTTTTCCACGACATTCTAATTTATTGAGATGCACCTGTATTTGAGATCAAACTTGTCATAGATTTACAAAAACATGCTGAAAGCAACTAACTGGTTCTTAAAATACAGACCACAGATGAAAGAGAGAGGGGAAACATGTGTAACTGACCTTTAACACAAAATATTACAGTTATTAAGATCCAACCCTCGTGACAACTTCTCTACGACAACATTAAATATAATATTAAAGTAAATCCAAAAATCACATCAGCATCTTAAACAGTTCCAGTTTGGTAGTTATTACCCCAATTCACCTTGAACTGGGCCCAGCATATAATGTTTGTCCTGAAATAAACATATGTCAAAAAACAGAATTATTTTGATGTCAGTTTCTTTACATATTTTTTTTCAGTAAAGACTACTTTTTAGGAACGATACTTCAGGAACATGTAACATAGTTTGAGTCATTTATCTATGTGCAGCTATCAACAAACAAATAGGGTATACTTCTTTATTATTTATGTTTTTTTCTGTCATGTATGTGTTTTGTGAATGTAGGCTACCACTGAGAAGAAGCACTAAATGTCATTGTGCTGTTGTGCAATGACAAAGTATACTATTCTACAATAAAGCAAATAAATACACAAGGAAAATTATGAAAACTTAATAGGTAAAATGTCCTTAACTTTGCTAATAATGCTAAAATGTTGTAACATTACTTCGTATGTAGGCTATCAAAAATGTCAAATAAACAGCACTCACCTCTTGCAATACCGTGGTAAAGGATACTTTTCAAAGTCGGTGTTCATCCGATGGACAGAAGTGTGTTTAACAGAAGTGTTATCAGTGGACATTGGTTTGCTGCTGTCTTCATGAATATCTCACTGCTACTGATGCGCACGAGACAGCTGCTCACCACTGGAATAGATGTGCCCATGCAAAGTTAAGTGAAATTCTCCTCAGTCTTGTTTTTTTTTTTTTATTATTAAAATGCGAACTCTGGTTTCGGTCTGGTCCATAGGACTACACGCGCATAATTCAGGAAGCTTATTGAATGTGTTCACCAAATCGAATGTATGATGACGTCACGGCTATAATGTAGAAATCGTTCAATGACACTGCCTTTTCTAATTTGATGAGCTGATTTTTAAAGCAAATTATTGTACGATTTGAAACATTGTATCTGAGCTGAGATAAATATTTTAAGCGACAAAGTAACGAGCAGTACTTTTTGGAAATATCAAATAAATATTACTTTTTATTATTATTATAGCCTGCGTGGAGCGGGTCGCCCCCTCATGGGCGCTGGCATAATAATAATACAATGATGATGATACATTTACTTTACAAGGGCGCTCAGTGTGTTTTACAAAGTGTGAAAATAAAAGTGCAACGATGGAACATGACTTGCATGATGGTATTGTTCAGCATATGGCCAATGTGATTGTGATCTATATGGATGCATGTAGTATGAGGGGAAACATAGATAAAAAGGAACCAAACAAGATCCTACAAGCCAAGATAATTGATATAAGTTGACATAACTGTGTCTTTAGAAGGGTTTTTCATTTTCAGGATTGTTAACCAGACCAAAATATCGAAATGTAGCCAAAATCATGCTAACAGAATTGACATAGATTGTCTTTTTGAAAGGATGATGAGGATTTCATGTAGCTTAACTTTGCAGTATCACCGGCAAATTATATCAGCACTCTGAATGTCCGTTTACATGATCAACTACAGTATTTTATTTAAAAATATATATGATAAAAAAGCCGACATAGGTCACAAATTGACCTTTTTATTTTATTAGCCAAATTTCTGAAATATTTGCACGCGTAACTCCAAATTCACAGATTTTTCTTTTAGAGTTTGAAAACTTTCCAAATCCCATATCAGCATTTTGTGTAATAATGGAAAAAAGAAAAGAAAAAAAATAAGAATTTGGGGTGACCGTCACTATAGCACTTTTGGCACAACTGTAATTTGACAGTTGGCACAAGCAATCACAGCCAGGTCAAAATTCGCAGCAGCACTCTTACACATGTGATATTGCTTAAATGTAGCATGCCACGTTCAGTATTTTTATTTTAGAAAATAAACAATAATGCTTGCATGTAAAACCAAGTGAATAAATTCTAGTTTTAATTCTAATTTCTACTTTTTATTTATTGGTGAGCAAAACCTATAAAACAGGGAGAGGTGAAAAATAAAAGATATGTACATCACAGAACCTGAAAGTGAAAAAAAAAAATCATAAAAATGCATAGGCCTATCAAATAAATGCATAAATGAAGAAGTCATACAAATTAAATAATTGAATGCGTTTCAAAAGAAAGCAAGAATGAGTATGGTTGTTTTATAGTACTTTGGAGAAATTAGGGAAAAGTGTGAAAAACACAAGTGTATTTAACACATCCAGGCAGGGGCCTGTTTACGGTCAACTCCAGTGAGAGACCGATTTGCGCGTCTGCAGACCAGCCTATCTCAGCCATTTTGTTTCTGCACCTCTTCGCCATGGCAGAGATGGACGACGGTTATGAGCCGGGTATAGTGCGCACTCACAGCGGGTTTTCTGGATCTAAATCAGGGGGAGACAAGATGTTCTCCCTCAAGAAGTGGAATGCGGTAGCCATGTGGAGCTGGGATGTGGAGTGTGACACTTGCGCTATTTGTCGGGTTCAAGTAATGGGTGAGTGTTTTTTTTCTAGCTAACCGGCTAGCTGAAATAGCATTTGTGTACCTTTCTGGGATTCTTAGCTGGTTCTGGATTACCTCAACAGACCATGAACAGGCAGATAACATTGCCTGTATCCGGCTGACCCACTACCGAGTCGTTTTTTAGCAAAATAACACGGATGACATACTGCTGCCTACATAGACAGCATTTGTTGAAATCATAAGTGGTCACGTAAATGCTGACTCAAACGTTAAAAAGTGTCTATAATGGCCAAAATGCCGTGATTGAGTCGATCAAACGCAAGTTGTAAAACAAACACGAGAATCGAACCTTCCGTAGCCAAAATAGCGCTCGAAATAATATATCGAACATTCCAATGAGCCATGATGTTGAATCGAATTTTAAACTCATATTATTCATTTTTACAAACATATTTACATTTTTGAATGGACCAATGGAATATCTACAAGAAACATGTATCCAACGTTTGTATTCAAGTGTGAGGCTCAAAAACACATTTAAATGCACACAAATGTCGCTTTAAACGTTCGGGTGAACTTAAATGACAGTTTGAAGGTATCTATCATTCTCAAAAAAAAAAAAAAGTCAAACGCATCTGATGCCCAAAAGTGCCCAATCAATTGTGTAGTGTTTTCACACTACCATTAACCCAAGATATAGTCATTCTAATCCCCACGTTTAACCCCGTTTAAAGGAACATTTCATAAGCATTTGTCACACGTGAAATAGTTAACCCTGCATCATTCTGGGTAACCTAACCCTGGGTGGGTGTCCATAAGCTGACGTTTCGCACTGTACATAGTGAACTCTCAGGTTAACGGTCTTGTTTGCATTTTTGCAGTGTCATTGATTTGATGAATGCAACATGTTTTCATGAAGGCTCCAGAGTTGTGCATCTTTTCCATCATTTTTTCCACCCAGATGCTGAAACAACTGTTTATGCCAAGCGCTGTTTCAGAAATGGTCCAGAACACATTAAAGGGGGTCATATGATGTTGCTAAAAAGAACATTATTTTGTGTATTTGGTGTAATGAAATGCGTTTATGTGGTTTAAGGTAAAAAAATAAATAAAAAAACATTATTTTCCACATACTGTACATTATTGTTTCTCCTCTATGCCCCGCCTTTCTGAAATGCATCGATTTTTACAAAGCTCATCGGTCTGAAAAACGAGGTGTGCTCTGATTGGCCAGCTATCCAGTGTGTTGTGATTGGCCGAATACCTCAAGCGTGTGATGGAAATGTTACGCCCCTCACCATACTGTGATGCCCTGTCCGGCCGGAGCGACAAGACAGAAACATTAAAACCCATTATAAACGAGGCATTTGTTGCATCCAGTGGGGACATAATTATGGATTATAATGACTAAACTTAACCTCTGATTTCTAGTCGTGTTCTCTTTTGGAAGGCCAAACAAAGTAGTTTCGATTTCACAACGAAACAGCGTCACACACGGCGGGCTTGAGTGATTGGCAGCCGGCGGATTCGATGAAGGAGTGTCCGGCGGGCTTGCGGCAACCACATGTGACGACCCCAGGCTGGACTCCGCTTCGTCCACGGTGCAAGCCGATCTGGCGATCCACAGTGCGAAGTTGATGTATTTCCTCAGCGACCAGCACGGATCAGCTCCAGGCATGATGAAGAGTATATCATCCTCTTTTGGAAGGCCAAACAAAGTAGTTTCGCTTTCACAAAGAAACACACAGAACACAAACACACACACGCGTCTTCACGACATGGCGGCAGCAACAATACTACAGCGAGAATAAAAGTTACGCCTTCTTTCTTTGCGTGAACATTTGGGCGGCGTTATGCAAATCTTCCCACATCGGGACGTAGGTATGTGGGGGTGTGTTAGAACGAGCCGTTTTAGGTAGGCGTGGTTGACTCTTAACTTTTATAAAGAATATCTCTTTGGATTTGAGACTTTAGTCTTTACAACTTTACAGATCTTCTTTGTGCACCAAGAGCTTGTAACACTCCAAAGAGAAAGGAAAAATTTAAATCGCATCATTTGACCCCTTTTAATGTGAGGCACGGGAATAGCTGCTGGTTGCTAAGCATCTAGCCCTAACATTCTAATACCATATCTTCATATACTGCAGTGTGGGGTTAAGACTGCAAAAACACTGCTAAACCTGCTCCAGAGCAGGGTTTCTTAACCCTGGGTAAAAAGTGATGCTATTGCTAATCCCACATCTAATTTACAAGTGTGAAACATACATTTACCCAGTATACAGAGCAGGATTGGTACCACTTTTGGGGTGTTAAAGGAATAGTTAAAAATTCTGTCATTTACTTGCCCTCATGTCGTTCCAAACCTGTATGTTCTTTCTTATGTTAAACACAAAAGAAGATATTTTGAAGAATGCTGGTAATCAAACCGTTGTTGTCCCCCGTCGACTTCCATAGTAGGGAAAAATACTATGGAAGTCAATGGGAGCAAACAACTGTGAAATGTATGCTTGAAAAAATATGCTATTGCTATAATATTATAATAAACTACACTTATGAGAGAGTTGTCAGATTTTGTGATTTCAAATAAGCATGGTGAACAGTTTTGGAGAATTTGATGTTTCCCCATTCAAAGAGATAGGTGATGCACTTGTCTTTATGATAATTTAAACAAAAAATACAAAAATGATGTTTAGGTAGGCAGCTGACGGCTGTGAGACAGCCATGCTTTACTGGTTCATCACAAGTAAATGTAGTTAATGCATTCCAACATAATCAAAAAACAATTATACACAGAGTCAGACTGTAATTGCATGTGACTTTAGTAAATCTGTCCTCTGACAGAATTTTAAAATGACAGATTTCAACTATGCCCTAAATGAACAGAAAAAAGAACTGGTTATGTTTAAATGAATATTAAATATGTATTTTAAATGTATTTCAGATGCATGCTTGAGATGTCAGGCTGAAAACAAACAAGAGGACTGTGTCGGTAAGTCAACTGTAACATCACTGCTGGCATACTAATTGCCTGCCTAATTAATCAATTACATTTATCCCGTAATTAATCGATTACATTAATCCCCTAGAAGCAGATGGCTGCACTGTTCACTGCCGTTATAGTTCGCACTAATATTCTTTAAATTTTATCTTTATTTTTCCCATTTGTGACATACAGTATAATAAATTATATACTTGAGTCATTTATCAGTTTCTTTTATCCAAAGCGACTTACAGTACACCCAGGGGCAATCCAACTAAACCAACCTGGGGTTAAGTACCTTGACCAAGTGCACGATCCATAGTATCCATTTGCGTCACAAAATAAACCCTGCCTCCACACTGGTAGGTTAAATCAAAGGATAGTGTCACACTTAAAGGGATAGTTCCGCCAGAAATGAAAATGCTGTCATCATATATTCACCCTCATGTTGTTGCAAAACCAGTATCACTGTCTGTCTGTCTTCTGCAGAACACAAAAAAAGATCAATTGTGGAATGTCTCAGTGTTTTGTTTTTCTGGGTTTGAAACATCACTGTCTCTTATGCTATCTTTCTCTCAGTGGTATGGGGAGAGTGCAACCACTCCTTCCACAACTGCTGCATGTCCCTCTGGGTGAAGCAGAACAATAGATGCCCACTATGCCAACAGGACTGGGTGGTACAGAGGATTGGCAAGTGAGGATTCAAGCTTTGGACCCACATTTCCTCCGTTGGCACTACTCTGCTTAGGGAGACCAGACTGATTATCAGAGCATCTCCAGCCATTGAATGTGTAGGAAAACCTGTGTGCACGTGTGTGACTTGTCAAAAGTGAAACCAAGGATGTTGGCAGAAATCCAGGTGACACTGGTTAGCTTTACCATTCTGTCACCTCATACAGCATTACGAAGAACCAGCCAGAAGAGCTCCGGGATACGACAGATTCACTTGGGTGTTTGTGGCATCATGTGTGATTATAATTGAAGTTGTGCTGTGAATGTGTCTTATGTGCGTTAGAAATAAAATCAAATCTCAATGTTGTTATAGGTGTTTGTTTCTGATTACTGGATGGTTGATTATTTTTAAATAATTTTAAGGTGAAGATTTGCGCAACACACACACACACGTGTATGTATATATTGTTATATATATACACATACATACAGACGGATATAGATATATATTTATAAAATTAGTTTTTTTTTTATGATTATTATTTTTAATTATACATTTTTAGTGTACAAATATCTCTTAAAAAGCCCTCACAGCACAGAAATGAAGGATTAGATTACTCAAAGAAGATTTGGTCAGCATTAAATGAGAGTAATTATTATTAAGCTGGCTTATAGGCACATTTTACATAAGTACTTGCAAAGTGCAGAATCAATTCGAAGAAATAACATACTGGGGAGAAAAAAAAAGTTAATATACAGAAATTTCCATGACTTTTCTATCTTTCTTCACTAATTCCAGTGAAACAATCAGCTCAGGATTTGAGTGCTTGTGATTAGTCCGGAACCCATAAGAACTATTTCCAAGACAAAGATTTAGTTGGAATTTGACGCAGGCTTTTTTAGCCAATGGCGATGTAAACTCAAATATTTGTATAGATGGTTTCCCCGGTGCATTCTGGGTTAAGGTTTTGCTAAAGAGTGTAATCAAGGCTATATATGAGGAACTACATTGTTTTTGTAGTTGGAAAGACATTAAACAGTGAAACAAATGTCCACCTATACTACAGTACAAACAATATGTAATGTAATAACTTGTGAAAATGCGGTGTTAAATATAGTGTTAACCAAGAATAAAGCTTCTTAGACATTGTTTTAGGGTGCTCATATTCACATCTGGCAGCATTCTGGTCCACTCAGTTCCTGATGGATATAATCAAGGCTTCCCCAATATAATTAGAATATATCCTGTATCGAATCTATACCTATAGTGCATTTCTTGGTGTTTATCTGCAAGTTTAGATTATTTGATTTCTACAACAGAAAAGAATAGAATCTTTATTGCTGCACAACCAATTTATTTTCATGTTAGACATGTTTACATAGCGATACTGCTTGGCAAATCAATGAGGTGCCTCCTGGGATGTATTGAAGGAGTTCATATGTTTGTTGGACACTTGTTGGCTATTATCTGATCTCACACATTTAGAAAATTAAATAAAATGTTTGTAAAGACGTTTATGTGCAGGCACATGTTACTCTACAAAACTATTTTCCAGCATTTCAATTGTCATTACTTAATTTTCTAAGTATTTTATAAGAAGGAAAAAATAAACAATGTCTCAAATCTTGCCATCTTAATAAATGCTAATGCTGTATCATTATAGGAATATGATGTCAGCCGTCTGCCAGACAGCCTCCTCTGAAACATGGCTGTCCGTTGTGCAAAGCTGGGTTGAATGCAGCCGAGAGGACAGATTTAGCTAAAATGTTTACACCTAATGAAGGCTTATTCTCACGTTATTCTCATTCAATGTGCTCGTATAATGAGCTTTAAACCTACTCTTGTAAGCTCCTAAAGTCTTCAGACTCTCAAAGAACTGAAAACAACCATGAACTATCAGCTTGTAACATCAAGTATTAAATTGTAATTAGTTGTTAAGGCAAGTCTAGCTGCTATGGCTTAAACTTGGGTTTCGGAATTTTAACAGACCGCTAAAAGAATTAAACTTTAAACTAGTACTATTATTTCTCCAAGTTATTTGACGTATTTTCACTTGGCAGACAATGAAGTGGGCATCAAGGTCGGTTCACACTGGCTGACATGGTGAACTGGCACTAACAATGAAGGAAGGATTGAACTATAGTCTAGGGACCAGAATGTCCCTTTTTGCTTGGGCTAGTAAGAAACCTACATGCTAAAACACTGAATAGCAACACCCTTGAGCATTAAAGAGGCACAGTTTTACACAAGCAAGCACCACTCGCATTTTCTTCATAAACCTAGTAGAATCTAGTTCTGTTTATTTCCTTGAACTGAAATTGATAGTAGAGGACGGAGCACGTTAATTGCATTGTCTATCCCTTAACATTGTGGCTAATCATAGTCCAAAGCCTCTTAACTAAAATACGGCATAAGTTCCTTGAGCAGTATCCACGAATTAGCATACAAAGAGACTTACTTAAGAGAAAATCCTTTTTGAGGTTTTTAATTCTTACTGATCAATTACGTGAGTGGAACACGGAAGACTCCGACTTGAGGCTCCGAAGCCTCATTCATTTTGACTCATCATCATATCAGAGCTTCACTCTGCACTGCCTGTATCTCCTTATTTCTTATTCATTGCTACCTGCAGCGTCACATAGTTGACCCTTCACCTCACCACAGCCATGTGCGACATGGGTGGACTGGACAACCTGGTGGCCAACACAGCCTACCTGAAAGCACAGAGTCTAGACGACAAGGAGATGAGGAAACGAAGGCGTAGCCTAATTCTTCCCCAACTTGAGAATTGTACAGAGGTGCGTGCAACTATTCCCAAGGACTTTGAGGACATCTGTGAGCAGCAACCCATTGGGAAAACATGCTTCCGACGGTTCCTTTTAGCCTCCAGTCCAGAATACCTAGCCGCTGCAGAGTTTCTGGATGAGTTGAATGACTGGAATTTGGCAGAGGCCGGTGCTAAAGACAAAGCCAGGCAGAATATCATTAACAAATTCTGCAAAGCTGATTCCAAGAGTTTCATGGCTTATCTGACAGAGGACATGGCAGAAAAGTGTAAAGTTGTCTCTGAGAAGGACTTTGAGGAGGTGATGATGGGACAGGTTAAAGAAGCCACACAGGAGTTTCTAAGAGAAAAACCTTTCATTGAGTATCAGACCAGCCCGTTCTTTGATAGATTTGTGCAATGGAAGCAATTCGAGAAGCAGTCCATCTCTGATAAATATTTCTATGAGTTCAGAACTTTGGGGAAAGGAGGATTTGGAGAGGTGAGTATTTGCACCTCCTACCCAGTCACAAATAAATCTACAGAGGAAACCTTTTTTTTTTAAAGGAAAGAAAAAAAAAAGTTGTTGTCTTAGCTGCGGAGCATTGTATAGTTGGAGTTACTTACATTCATGTCTTTAGAATGTAGGTTTATTTTGGTTTTGTTACTTGCTTTCCGTAATCCTTTTGGTAAGGCAAACTACTTTCTTTTTCATTTTTTTCGGTGGACTAACATGCACTGATGTGTTTTACAAAATAAGACCAAGAATGTGCATTTAGAAAACACGGTGTCGTTTTGTTGTCCTGTTATGCATGTTGCAAAATCTCTTACTTATGAAGTAAGCCATTCACAGGTTGATTTTACCAACATTGGCATCCCATAACAAATTCAGTGCACAGGGACCAGAATTCCTAGCGACGGCCCTGAGTGGCACTATCAAACATTGCTCTGTTAGTTTCAGTGGAACAACATGACAGGTTCTAGCTCAACCTGTGGTGTGAGTTTGGGGCAAGACTATCTGTTTCTCCAGCCAATGGAACATAAGGTCACTATTTTTCAGATGCTATATAGGCAGAAATTCTACACTATACCTTTAAGACCAAACTAAACACAATATGCAATGTTTCAACTGAGTTGGACATCCTTTGATGAACAGTGGAATACAAATGCCAAATGGAATATAAGTCCCCTTGGCACCATCTGGGCACCTTTTACGTAATATTTAGTGCACATAATCAAGGGAATGGACACTGCTTAGACTACATCCCCTTTGAAAAATTACCTTTATCTGAATATTATTTCAAGTGTGTACATTCTCACTGTTGCCCCATATTACAGCAGGAATGTATTGCTTTGTACAAAATGTAGAATTCTTCCCAAATCTAGCCCATCTTTCCATTTCAAAAGAGTAATGTTCCTCTATTGAATGTTATTTAAATTTCTCTCTAGGTGTGTGCCGTTCAGGTCAAACACACGGGCCACATGTATGCCTGCAAGAAGCTAGACAAGAAACGTCTGAAGAAAAAAGGAGGTGAAAAGATGGCTCTGCTGGAGAAAAAAATCTTGGAGATGGTAAACAGCCTGTTTCTGGTAAACCTGGCCTACGCGTTTGACACGACAACACACCTGTGTATGGTCATGACTCTGATGAATGGAGGGGATCTGAAGTACCACATCTACCACACTGGGGAGATTGGCATTGAGATGGAGCGCATCATTCATTACACAGCCCAAATCATCACTGGTATTTTGCACCTTCATGCGATGGATATTGTGTACCGGGACATGAAGCCAGAGAACGTCTTACTGGACAGTCAAGGCCAGTGCAGGTTGTCAGACTTGGGTCTAGCTGTGGAACTACCAAACGGGAAAACCATCACTCAAAAGGTAAAAACAGTAACATAAGACAAGTCTTTATGATGTTGATGGTGTAGATTAGTGGGTAACAATCTGGCCTGGTATATTAAAACTTTGAAGTCTAAATCCAACAGATATCCAATATGTACAAATATCAGTACAACCTGCTGAACAACCTAGACAACCGCTGAACACCCGAGTCCCAAAATTACCCCCAATCATAAATGTGTGTGTAAAGCTTTTCAAAGTATTTACTAATACCTCTCAAGTTATTGACACTTGGTGATAACCCTAAAGCAGGTATAGCTAACCCTGCTCCTAGAAATCCAACTTTTTTTAAATAAGTAATTTTTCACAAGTGCAAAAAGATTACATTCTATAAAGTATGCATTTATGTAGTATGTACTGTATCTGGACATACTACATTCACCATGTTGTCATTGTCACGAGACGTACCAGCGTAAGTTGCGTCACGTCACTACCATTCATAAATCCTCTCCCGTGGCCTCATGGGATAGTAAAGTGTCCATCGAATGCACACTTCAGGATTACATATACGTACATTATAGGTAGTCGGATTTTTGTCACACTGTTTTTCACCTACAGGGAAGTATGCTCTTTCAGATGCAGCCGTAGATGCAAGCTGTCCAACCCTGCTTTAACACACCTGTCTGTCATTTTCAGGTAACCCTTAACACCTTGATTAAGGGTTAGCTGAGCTGAGCTTTTCATGATGGTATCTGTCCAGGAGCTGGGTTGACTACCCATGTCTTAAAGCAATATTTCCCAACCACAGCAATGTAGCTCCTAACATCTGGCCTCAGTTATACTAAACATTTTGAAGGTTTCCTTTATCCTATACATCTATGAAGTCTCTAATGAGCTGATGAGTAGAATCAGGTGTGTTTAATTAGGAACAGTTTGAAAATGTGTAGGCTGTGTCCAAAATCACATACTCCACATCATGATATCTGGTCACGAAAAGACCAGGTGCATGCATAGCAGATTGCAATACGAAATTGCAAAAAATTCCTAAATCAATATGAATTGCAACCCAATGGCAAAAAAAATAAATAAAAAAAAATGGTATGAGAGTATCTTATAGCTTCCAGCTCCCAGGAGCCAGACACCATAGTGCTACTGCAATGCGCATTTCCACAGATACAGCCCGTTGGAGCATCTCTCTAGAAAACATGCCCAAACTGTGTTTTATTTTAACAATTAATTGTATTAGATACTTAGTATTTAAATCTACCAAATCATAATGACTATGTTCAGTATCATTTTAACTGTATCAGCTCTCATGTATAATGTCATGGATAATTCCTTAGAATGATTCTAATACTTCCAACAATTAAAGGGATAGTTCACCCAGAAATGAAAATTACCTCATGATTTACTCACCCTTGAGCAATCCTATGTGTATATGACTTATTTCTTTCAGACGAATACAATCAGAGTTATATAAAAAATGTCCTGGCTCTTCCGAACTTTATAATGGCAGTGAATGGGGTTTAAGATTTTGAAGGCCAAAAAAAGCTGCATCCATACATCATAAAAAGTGCTCCACACAGCTCCTGGGGGTTAATAAAAGTCTTCAGAAGTGAATTGTAGTGTTTGAGTAAGAAAAATATCCATATTTAAAAGCTCTCTCTAACTAGAGAGTGGCGTTCCAGCGGATGACATAGGACGTAGAGTAGACGAACGCGGAAGTAATGAACAAAGAAGCTCAACGGAGCAAGCAAACAAAACTTCGTTCATGTCAGAGGATTTCGATATAGGTCAAGAGGAGGATGTTTTTTCTTTGCTTTAAACAAAACTTGGTTCTCGCTAGACTAGTATATTCTTACCGGAGCTTATGTTACCTACTGTACATCATCCGCTATAACACCATTCTCTTGTGAAAGCACATATGACGATTAGCGGAAGCTAGAGATCACAATTTTGTAAAGTTTTAAATAAGGACATTTTTCTTACACAAATGCATCGATTCACTTCAGAAGGCCTATGTGGAGTACTTTTTATGATGTATGGATGCAGTTTTTGGCCTTAAAAATCTTAAAGTGCCCCTATAATGGATTTTTGAAAATTAAGTGAATGAAAACATCCTGCAAAGTTTTAAATCTGAAAGTGCACCGTGTATAAAGTTATTGTCTCTCAAAAGAAAGAGTAATTTCATGCTGACTTCAACATGAAACATTAGCATATTGCCTGCCCACTTGTTGGTCGTTTCGCAATGGTCTCAATGAAAATGCAGATTCATTCTTTGCCACTAGGTGCAGCTTTTGGAGAGGAAAAAATAGCGCCCTGGTAGCGCTATATACAAAGCAGCACTGCGCTCACAAACGCTGCTTTATCAGGCATTGCAGGCATGATGAAATGAAAATGAGACCAATCGGACCAATCACTGCAGATTAGCATCACGCAAAGGAGGGGTTTGGAAAAATGAATCTTTGAGCGAATCTTTTGGGAGTCGTTGAGCAAGTAAGGTAAAAAAAAAAAAATGTTGACCTTGCATGCATGTCAACCTGTTGTTGGGGAATCCCAAAACCAAAATATGAACCTTTCATTATCCATAACAGGGGCATTTTAAACCCCATTTACTGACATTATAAAGCTTGGAAGAGCCAGGACATTTTTTTTAATATAACTCCGATTGTATTCGTCTGAATTCTCTGAAAGAAGAAAGTCATATACATCTAGGATGGCTTGAGGGTGAGTAAATCATGGGGTAATTTTCATTTCTGGGTGAACTATCCCTGCATGTGGGCAATATGCAGGACTTTTTTTTTTTTTTTTTAAATATAACTCCGATTATATTCGCCTGAATTCTCTGAAAGAAGAAAGTCCTATACCTCTAGGATGGCTTGAGGGTGAGTATCATGGGGTAATTTTCATTTCTGGGTGAACTATCCCTTTAACTAATTTTTCCAAGTAGCAAAATTAGAAAAATCTGAGCTCTACCAAGAAAATTTTGACTTTTTCATTGTGTACTAATATTTCAGACAGCCAGGGGTACCACAAGACCCTAAATAAGCCCTCACTAATGCTAATCACAGTAATACGCAAAGCTGGCATTGATCTAGGTTGGAACAGCACGCCCTTCTTCAGAAGAGTAGTGTGCCTCAAAGGGTTTGATTTGAGTCCCAGGAGACACATACTGGTGAAAAAATGGCAAGGGATTGTTTTTGTGTGTTTGACTTGTCTCAGGAATCTCTTCTGAAATGGGATTTTAGTGAGGATGATGAACAGGTCAAAGAGTTTGTACCATGATAGATGTCTTTAAATATGATTTGAAATGCTTTTTCAGGTGGCTTCAAAAAGGCTGAATGATTTTTCTCATAACCCCTCTTGTTGTCTTTTCCATCGTAGGCTGGCACCAAAGGGTACATGGCGCCAGAGATCCTGAAGCAGGAACCGTATCGTACGTCAGTGGACTGGTGGGCCTTGGGCTGTAGCATCTATGAGATGGTGGCTGGCCGTCTGCCTTTTAGAGTTCACAAAGAGAAGGTTACTAAAGAAGAGATAGTAAGGAGAACTCTAGAAGACGAGTGCAAATTTGAACACAAAAATTTTGACGCCCCCTCAAAGGACATCATCGGTCTTTTTCTGAAAAAGAACGTTGAAGACCGCCTTGGCTGCAAGTAAGTGCCAGCATTTTTGTGTTTCATGGCAAGAGGACACACTTTTTCCACTCCAGGTCATTATTAGGACGTGGTCAGTCCAACTCTGCCCTCTGCATGCCAACATAGGAACAGAAGCTTTACTCTGTCAGCAAAATCAAGCCAGTGTGGAAGCAATTTGAAGAAACAGACCGTTTCTGTCAGCCTTTCTCACTGAGAGCACTGGCAGTGGGTTTGGAGCCTCAGCACTGGGTTTGGACGGAGCAAAGCATGAATGTTAAACATAATATCTTTGGGACTTTCATTCTGTGGGTGAAGACACCAACAGATTCAATACCAGCTTCATTGCTCATAGGTATAAATTACATATTAACATATAATACTGTTCTCAATGTCAGTTGCTGAAACCATTTCAACCCATTAAAATTTTATTTTAATCCTATTAAAGGAACCGTTTCACCCAAAAGTGAGCATTCTGTCATTATTCACCCTTATGTCGATCCAAACCTGTGTGCTGTTATTTTTTCCATGGTACACATAATGAGAATCTTTCAAAGATTTATTGTGCAGCTTCTGACACATTTGTCAAGAATGGCCAAAAACATCATAAAATCACCATACGGATTCAGTATGACTTATGCACTTTCCGCTTTTAGTTTTCTTTTGCCTTTTCATCGTTTTTTGTGAGGAAACGAAATAAAAAATGTAAGCTATTGTTCACTGACAGTCTTTAGCTCTCAAGTACTGTGCTGAAGGCCCATTAGGGTTGATGTCAAGCCATTTAGTCACAAAGACCTGCAAAAACCAATGATGTTTGATATTATCGACGTCCAACCTGCAGAACTGGTCCATTTGATTTGAAAGCTTGACAGAGGGAAAGAGTGCCAGGATGTAATGATATTGGTCTGTTTATCATAATGCTGTTGTCCTACAAAAGACTCATATTAAGTTAAGTTCCAAGAGAAGGGAAAAAAAAGAAAGCAAAAAAAATCTTACAACATCTAACATTTGAACGTCCTCAAAATGTGGAAACTAATTTTGCATAATTTAATGGAAACTTCGGCAAACGTTTTTAAATACAGAACGCAGCATGCAATTTTGGTGTGATGTGATAGTAAGTAAATATGGCTGGATTATTCCTTTAATTGTGAGTAAATGTCATGCAATAACCATACATTTATTCATAACTGTTTATTTGCCCTTAGGGATGACCCTCTGAAACATGAGTTCTTCAGATCCATCAACATCCCTCGACTAGAGGCGGGGCTTATTGCACCTCCATGGGTACCAAACCCAACGTTGTGTACGCTAAAGACACGGGCGACATTCGAAACTTCTCTGAGGTTAAAGGGGTTGAATTTAATGCCAATGATGAGAAGTTTTTTAAAGAATTCAGTACAGGAGCAGTGCCAATTCCATGGCAACAGGAGATGATTGACAGCAGACTCTTTGATGAGCTTAACGACCCAAACAGGAAGAAAGTGGGACTGGATGATGATGATGAGCAAAAATCCAAATCTTGCACTCTTCTGTAATAGAACAAGAACATCTTGCACAACAAAACAATTGTTTGTTTTTTTTGTGCTTATTTACATATTATTTTGTCCTTTTTTTTAGATTTTCAGAGATCTTCCCATATAATCACATTTTTGAAGAAAGGATCTTATAATGACTACTTTGATGGGTTATTGCTATAATAATAAATAATATAATTTTAGTATTCATTTCTTTTAATGCCAAGTGCTTTTAATAAGCATTTATATGGAAAATAAATAATTTTGTTCTGTTGACGGTTGATGCATCTTCTGCACAGTCATATGCTGTGTCCTCACCAGTCTTATCAGATTTTAAAAGACATGTTAATTTTTTTTTTATTAATGTACATTTTTCAGTTACATTTCCCTGTAATTGTTAAATTGGTAATATTATTTATAATGAAGAAATCGTGTTGATATTTAACTGTATGCTCTGTTAAACACGCTGAAAACTGAAATGAAAAATGAAAATTCTGTCATCATTTACTCTCATCTTGTTCCAAACCTGTATGAATTTCTTTCTTCTGTTGGAAAGAAGAAGAAAAAAGTTGCTGGTAGCCATTGACTTCCATAGTATGGTCGTAAAATACTAATGGAAGTCAGTGGCTAGCAGCAACTGTTTGGTTACCAGCATTCCTCAAAATACCTTCTTTGTGTTAATCAGAAGTCGTCAATGGCTACTAGCAACTGTTTTGTAACTAACATTCTTCAAAATGTCTTTTTGTGTTTAACAGGTTTGGAACAACACAAGGGTGTGTGTTTTTTGTGAACTATCCCTTTAAATGCTGTGTTAGTTGTAATAAGGTCCCTCTAATAATAAACCATCCATTAAAACAACATCAGAACTCATTAGAATGTCTTGCCACTGGCTTGCATGGCTGACACACTTGTTAAACAGACGCCACTTTCAAATTCTCTCTCCTCAAGTTGCAAAATCGACTAGGCCTACTATATATGACCAACAGAGGTCACTGCTCACAATGAGATACTGTTTTTTTAGGTGGGAAGGAGACTTGTGAATAAGGGCACTGATAAACCCAGCCATGCTGAAGAAAGTTTATCCTTTTCAGAGGAGTAACATTTTTATGTGAGCTCCTAAATATTTTAGCCGTGCTCATAACTAGATTATCTCAAATCCTGTTCTTGTCACGGGAGATTATTCATGAAATACGATGAAGGACCCGGGGTCAGGCACGACATGGGAAAGAGAGGCTTGTGGTTGTGGACAGGCTGCAGATATTTGCCCTTCTCCTCCACGTTCCAGGATGACACCTCAGCTGTGTGATAAACAAGCTCTCCCGAGGCGGGTGGAAATCTCTGGGTGCGGCTCGGCCGGTGCTCTCAGACCCACTGCGCTGCACCCTGCGCCACATGCTCCAGTGTTTTGTCCACATCTAACGAGCAGTGACTAAAATAGCCAGTGGTTTCATTAAGAAAACAAGCCCCTTCTGTTTGTATTATGTGCAAAGGTTTACGTTATTAAACGTGAATATTCTTATGCTGCTTTGCTCTTCATCATCCCACAGACTGTTCCGTTATTGGAATGTTTTTGCCTGGATGTGTCTGGGTCTCTTTTAGACTTTTAAAGGATGATTTGGCTTAAAGTGAGCAGATTTCTGAAATGGAAACTGGGGATATTTTCCATTTCAGTGGTCAAAATATCACGTAAAAAAATCACTTGTTATTAACTATAAATGAAAAACTGAGAGTTTTTTTTAAATTACCTTTTTAACTTATCTTGTTATTTTACGTTTGTGCTTTTGGAAATGTATTTGTACTAACCCTAATTGGCCTTATTATTTTGCATTTTAGGCTAATTTTAAGTATGCTTTCTGGGAACATAATTGTTGCAAGTGTAAATAGTAGCCTATATAAACAAAGCCACTTAAAGGAAACCAGAGGCCATGTTTCTGGGTGGGGGGGGGACTTAAACCAGCCTAAGAGATGGTTGCCTGGTTTTAACTGGTCTTCCAGCCTGACTCTGATTTTTGTTTTTTTTACCAATTCTTTAGCTGATCAGCCTGCATGGGAGACCAGCTGAACACCAGCTTGGTCAGACTGGGAGACCACCTTAAACCAGTTATGTCCAGCTTAAGACCAGCCAACCAGCATAGGCTGGTTTTAGCTTTTTTTCTTTTAAGGAAGTAGCCAAAACCCCTCTAAAACTAGCCTGCTGCATCAGCTACAATCAGGCTTGAAGATCATCTAAAACCAGCCAACCAGTATTTTTTCCCCCCAGCAAGAGCTATCAAATTCATGGTTTCTGCAAACAGTGGTTGACAGAAATTCAGTGACGTCTAGGCTGTGTGATCCAAGTTAAGCGTTACGCTTTCTCTAATGGTAGACCCATGGACCCAATCTCCCAATAATAAGACTATCTCTGATATTAATAAGGTGTGGGAATTACTGTGTTGCGATGGGGTAACATTCGGGAATGTTTAAAATTGTGTGCAAAACAATCCCGCATTTTATTAAACATACTAACAATATTACTTACGTTTATGTGACTACATTGAAACTGATAACAGTGTCTTTGATAACTGATGATAATAGTGCTCCATTGTTGTCCAGCTCGCAGCTACCTCTGTTGGTGAAAATACTGATTGGACAATTGTTCTGGTAACCAGGTTGGTTGGGCCTTTTTGCAGTGTATTCGTGGGCTGTTTTGAACTGGCACGTTTCTGGGGACAATTTTGGGACAAATGCTGTTGATTACCAAATAATTTAATCTCATCCCTCAGTTAAAATTAGTTAATTTGGCATGCTATTATCATCCAATGCTCCCCTCATTTTTTTTCTTCTATCATGCGAAGAGACGGTCATGGGCAGACGCTTATCCTATTTCTACACTGCAGACAAGGACAGCAGCTGGAGGACAGTTGAGCTTCACAGCTCAAATAACACACATTTTTGCATTAAATAATTAATATAAGCACTTGAGCAAAAGCTTGAGCTCCAAATTGCTGCTTTTAACCATCTGTTTAACTATTTTTTGTTTTTGCATACCAATATGCCATCTAGAATTTGAATGTCTTGTTATTGAACTGGCAAATACACAAGAATGCTTTATATAATTGAGGACACTCTCTTCAGAGCTTATTGACATTTGTCCAGAGGACTTTACTATGGTGTCAACACCTCTTACAAATGATCTTGTCAGGTCTAATACTGGGCATTTATATCAAGCGATCTTGCTTTTGAATACAATAGACATACTTGCTTAGAGATTTTTGCTTGCGTTGAACTAATTTGCAGTTCTTGAGTGTTTAGTGGTGGATATTAAGCTGTTTTATCCGAACCGCCATCTGAAGGCCTCTTCTTTTGGTATCTTCTTTTACATTGAAATTATTAGGTTCAGATTTCACCTCGGCAGTACAGCCAGTGCTCTCTAATCTCATTTAACAAGCTGACATATGGCTGCTAACACAATACTCTCATGAAACCCTCCACTTCGGCCTCCTGCTTCACACTTTAACAGACTGCGGTCGGCCCTATAACATTTCAGAGGGCTTAATGTAATTTTCAGTGTGCTTGTGCATATGCATATAGGCAGGAACACAAGTTTAGACACTTGCATTTTACAATGAATTAATGTAGGACTAAGGCAAGCATCACTGTTACTGTTACTTGAGGTGTTTTTTGAGACCCCTAAACCAAGTATTAAACTTCCACATGTGACTCATCTTAAAAATCCTCTAGACTTAAAACGAAGAAGCCAAAGGGTGCCAAGATATATCATTAATAATAATAATAATAATATACTTGTGGGTGGACTCTTTTGACTTGGACCAGTAAGTTAACATTCTAGCAACCACACAGAGCACCCTAGCAACCGCATGGCAAAGTACTGGAAAACACACACAACTCCCTAGCATTAGTTTGTATAGGCAAGCAACCCTTACAAAATGAAAAATTTTGTTATTTTACACATTCTAAAACAACAGTATTAAGATCAAAACTAATGTTAAACCAATCAAAATTTATATATTATAATATTATATTTAGTGCTGTCTGTCACACCCCTGTGGACTGTTGATTATGGTTTCTCCCTCTGTGTCCTTATTTGGTTGTTCCTGTTCCCATTATTAGTTAATCACCTCATTGTGTTCACCTGTCTGCCCCTCATTATCTGCCCTATAAGTTCCTGTCTCTTGGATCCTAGTGTTGTCAGTTATTGTTACCCTGTGCGCCTACCCTCTCGTCTAATCATTAAAGTGTTCTGATATCCTTCATCCTCGTCTTCCTGCCTGTTCCCTGGCACACCTGAACGAGACAGAATAACTGACCACAAAAAACGAGATGTTTGGTGTCTGCGGCAGGGTGGTCGGGATTTGGAGAGGTATGTGGAGGAGTTCCTAGAGCTCTCTCACCAGGTGAGCTGGTTGGATTCTGTCCTCGGGGTCTGTTTTCGGCTGGGGCTGGATGATGACGTCATCAGCGGTGCGGTTCCCACGCATAGCTTTCCCCTGATCGAGCTGGTTAATCAGGTCCTGTATCTGAATAGTGGATCGAGCTGGTTAATCAGGTCCTGTATCTGAATAGTGTTGATATGGAGGTAGAGGAAATTGGTCTTCCTGGGTAGAGTAAAGTCACAGCTGATAATTATGAGTCTAGTCCAGTCCACACTGATATTCATGAGACCAGGCAAATTACAGCGTTTCTTCCCAGCGGTGCGGTTCCCACGCATAGCTTTCCCCTGATCGAGCTGGTTAATCAGGTCCTGTATCTGAATGGTGTTGATATGGAGGTAGAGGAAATTGGTATTCCTGGGTCGAGTAAAGTCACAGTTGATAATTATGAGTCTAGTCCAGTCCACACTGATATTCATGAGACCAGGCAAATTACAGCGTTTCTTCCCTATCCCAGACTGACTTCCAGCGTGGAGGACCCACCGCTGGTGTCGGCCCGGGCAGCTGGCATCCCGAAACCAGCGCCCTCAAGCCTGCCAGCCTCTGTCACATTCAGGTGTGCCAGGGAACAGGCAGGAAGACCAGGATGAA